TGTGTGTGTGTGTGTGTGTGTGTGTGTGTGTGTGTGTGTGTGTGTGTGTGTGTGTGTGTATGTGCGTAGGTGTGGGTGTGTAGCGGGTGTGGCTGTGGGTGTGCGTGTGGGTGTGGGTGTATGTGTGTGTCTGGTGTTGTGCATCTGTGTGCCTCTATGTCTTTTTATGTGTCCGTGCTTGTGTACCTGTGTGAGTATTCGTACGTGTATGTATCTCTATAAAAGTGAGAGAGTAAGTGAATGAAAGATATGCATTCAGTCATATTCTTAAATCAAGTCGTGCACACTCCATCCAACACTTACCGGCTTGTGTACTTTGTTCTTATTCATAAACTCCCTAACTCTCAATCTTCTCATCTGCTGAGCCTCGGCTATCGATGTACCTGCATTCATAGGTTGCGCAGGCACAACGGTGCGCACAGGGTTTATATTACTAGCAGATACACTCAATGTAGACGCTACAATGTTCACGGAAGTATTCTGCTGTATGTGTGAGAATGGTTGTCCTTGTGGCCGTACGTGTGTAGTCATACCAATAGCATCATTAGACACATAAGAGCCAGATTTGTATGGTCCTGTACCATAGGCAGTATGCGGGGTAGCCTGTACGTACGGTTCGGGGGTGGTAGCGTGTTCATTGGGAATGTAATCATTAGAATCAACCCCTGGTGGTAGGAGGGGCTGACTGTGGGGACGCATCTTGGCTCACTACCCTCGATGTGTGCAGTGTTGAGACTATACTTATAGTTTAAAAAGCCTAAGGATATATACGTCGGAGTGGGTTAGTGCTATCTCAGGAGAACCACATGATTGCCACCGTAGTCTTTCACGCCTCATGGATGTGTTACTATTATGAATGCTGCTGCCAGTGATGTCAGGGTTAAAAAGTATTAGTTATTTATTTAGCTATTTATTTTAGTATGTAGTCTAGTTGGGTGCTTTTGGCGCGTAAAATTTAAACCCCAGCGGCCCTCTACTCGTTGAGGCAATGCTCGCACTGCTCGGTCTCGGTTTAGTAGAACTACTACAGTGCAAAATAAATATTTAAATATTGTGTAGAAGCCCCTATCAGTATATATATATATATACATATATGTACACACACACACTTACTATCTAGATATTTCGTGTTGATATATTGGTGTAGTAAAAAATTAGAATCAGAAGTCCGCCTGTACAAGGTGGTTATTGCTTGCAGACACACAAACTCTGATAGCACGCAAGATGCATGCGTCAACCACACATTCGCGATTCGCAATCGGGCAACTACGGTCTCGACTGTTGTATATCGCACCGTTTGGCCACCGCACCATCCAAGGGCGCCGTTGCTTAGCAACACATTCACGTGCGCCATTAAAGGAGTATGGCTCACGACATTGCGAGCCCATATCTAATGCTATATATTTGCCAACTAGACAGGAAAGCATACACTCGGGCGCACGACAGCACACGCCACACTATGTGAATACACAATGTGCCCGTGTACGTATGCGTGCAATGTCCACCCACTCTACTACAGACAATAGTGTCCCGAAGCGTCGTAGAGGCTACGCAGATACAGCTCGTTTATACGTCCGCTCTGGGTCAGGTGGCATGGGCGGTGCCAGTTATGGCGGCACGGGAGGTGATGGTGGGGGTATAATACTCAGGGCTAAGCGATGTGGCATGCCTTTGGTAAAGCGTGTGCAGGCTGAGAATGGGGGCAATAGCAGCCGGAAAGGGGGAGTTAGAGGGGTCTCGGCCAAGGATGTGGTGGTGGATATACCGGTGGGTACGGTGGTGAGTATCGAGCAGGAGGCAGGTGACGGGGCGGTAGGTATAGTAGGTGGTAATACCGCAGAGGAGAGTACGGGCGTGGGTAAGAATAGCGGGAAGATGCATTTGCTAGATGAATGCATACGGGACGATGGTAGTAAAGGGTTTGATATGGATAAAGAAGGCCAGACGTTAATGGTTGCGAAAGGGGGAAGGGGAGGCAGTATACAGACCCAAGATTATAACCCAGAACGGGGTGTGCGTCGAGTAATTAAGTTGGAGCTTAAATCCATCGCGGATATAGGGTTGGTAGGGTTTCCGAATGCGGGCAAATCAACCCTGCTCACGCTTATGTCGGATGCCAAGCCTGCAATAGGCAGCTATCCCTTCACCACACTAAGACCTCAGATAGGGGTGGTTCATTACGATAACAACCTGGACGGTGGCACTATACTGGAGACAGGTACGAGTGTATCATCGGGGGATTTGGGACAACAAGCCAACACAGACAACCCCAGCACAGCACACACACAGTACACTACAGTGCAATTGCCTCGTTCACCGATTAAAATCGCGGACATACCTGGGATCATCGAGGGTGCGAGTGAGAATGTGGGGATGGGACACAAGTTCTTGCGCCATATCGAGCGCACGAAGGGCCTGGTGTTTGTGGTCGATGTGAACGGGTTTTCGCTGAACGTAGACGACACACACCGTAGTGCGGCCGTATGCCTAGAGCAATTGGTGAACGAACTGGCGCGTTACAGTGACGGCATGCTACTCACTAAACCCTGTATCATTGTGGTCAACAAAATCGATACGCTGGAATACTCGGACAAGCTTGCTAGTGCCATCCCCGACACCAGTGTTGATCCGGATGAGACCCATTTTAAGACCTCTATGTTTGAAAAGTTGCCCCATATAAATGAGGAAATGAGTGACATCGATTCTAGTGCCACTTCTGGTGATGTCACAACCAATACAGGGGATGAACTTCGACTAAAGGAGTTGTATGAAGACATACGTGAACTGTCTACTGGGGCGGGTTTGTTAGTGCACAGCATCGTACCACTCTCGGCGCACACAGGACTGGGTAGAGATCGGCTGAAGCGCGCTTTGCGTGCCATATGTGAGGACACCTCTGGTGACGATTGGGATAATGAGAACTAAAGTTGAACACCGACTTGCAATTGATCTTATTAATAGTAAAATATATGAATTGGTGATAGAGTGATAGGTTTTCGGGGTGTAGATATATGTACTACCACACCCATTGAACGAGTGGCCATGCGCCTGACCGCGCAGGCGAATCGGCTCAAGCTCCGAGGCTACTAGTTATCAAATTTGAGTGGCCTGTACGACTCGCCCCATGGGTATAGTCCGCCATTATACTTACTGAAAAAGTTTATTCAAATGGCATGTGTGCACGACAGTGCTCGGTTCCGGCTCGCAAATGCTTCGCTAGCACGTACTTTCATTTAGGGGCTTGTTTGTCGGACATATATGTACAACTCACGAGCTTAATACTCTTGTGAACTCGAACTCGCTTGCCACTGAATTTGCCTTTTAAACGCAAAGTTAGTTAGCCTGAATAAAAACATAGTCCGCTGTCAAGCATTTTCCGGCCATTCGAGCACCTTCGTAGTCGTATGTTTCCCATAGGTCCACTACCACACTCTACAACTCTGTAAACATTAAACCCTAAACCCTAAGTTAAGCAACTCTAGGGTTTGGTGAAATTGTGCTTGTCCCCCATTCCGTCGAACTGCTTATGTGCCAAATTTAAATATGAATATTTTGTATTGTATCTTGTTCTGTAGGTGTATACTTCTGAACACATAGTAGTAGTAATAGTTGAGGTGCGTCGTTGCTAGTACAGCAGACTTATAGTGGACAGTTATGTGGGGTAGAATCCGGCAGATTTGGATGCCAAGTAATCACAAAGCACTCTTGGCATCACAAGAAGGTTTGTTCCACTTTATTTGGAATCGATTGCGTAGCATTCCGTTCGTGTCAACCATATCGAATCTGGGCAAGAGTTTCGTTCGTTGAGCTTGGTATATGTTGTTCTTTTTTTGACTTTATATTAAAATGGTCAGCGATTTCGGAATGCTGTAGGGCTTGAAATTTAAATAGCACGAGCGCATCTCGCAATTGGAGCGCGGGTTTTATTTCTGCTCCCCAAGGTCAATGTTGTTATAGAGCTATGTATCGCGGTCATAGGTGATTTGCTGAGAAAGTCCTCCTTACATGCTAACAGTCTGTGGATTTCTAACTTTGTTTGGTTGTTATTCGTTATACCAAGACTCGGAAGAAGTTTGCATGTATAAGTAAACGACGGTGCTGTGGACACGCCCGTATTCCTTCGAAATAATGCTACGAAATTTTTTTTGTACAAACAAATTTGTTAATACAATCATGTGCATAAGAAGTTTGTGTTCTTTGTCAATATAAATGTGGCAAAGATCAGAGTTTACGAATTCTAAGTAATATATATATATATATATATATATATATGTGTGTGTGTGTGTGTGTGTGTATATATATATATATATATATATGTGTGTGTGTGTGTGTGTGTGTGTGTGTGTGTNTNTGTGTGTGTGTGTGTGTG